ATGCCCTTTCGCGATAAAAATATCTCTCACGAAGAAAAGTTTACCCCGAACTATTTCATTTCTCTGGCAGATAGTTAATATCGTCTGATCTTTATTGTTTCATTCATAAATTAATTTCTTATCCGCACTTTTTTTTTTTGTTTCCACGACTTCGTGACGGAATCCCAAATTTTTCGCCTCCCGTGTCAAATTTGTGCGATAATTTGCAATTATGGCCTCCCTTGGTTTCCACAGTGATCCCCAGATATTCGCCATTTTTCAACGTTTCACATTTTTTGAATGTTTAAATTTTGCCGCCCCTTCTCCCCATCTCAAGGGTTGATTTGAATAAAAATTTAATTCAAAAATATAATAACGTCTGGGGCAGATAAGATTGAAGAAAAATCTCTCGCTAATTTATTTTTTCAATTAATAATTCCACAATTGTATTGATTTGACTTAATTACCGGTTATCGAATCGTATATTACCCTTGAAATTTCTGCGCGAGGCGATGGTCTCCCATTAACAATTAACGCGTAGTAAATCAGACATTGATCAGAAATCGATCGAATTCAATTTTTATTACAATGTGTCCCGTTCTAGACGTACCATAAACATAAAACTGCGAAAACTTGAAAAGCAATTCAATGACTCCATAGGTAGAATATTCCAACGAGCAGAATGGGTCCAATTGGATTGAAATGGAATGAAGAGTGACTCAGAAAAACGTTTATGGGCCGAGTTTTTAGTAGTACTTGGTTTCCCCGATAAACGGCCATCGCTATTCATTAAATCGAATGAATTTCCGTTGTTACAACTGAACTTCATGAATCCCAGTGACACAACATTTGTCAGTTTTTTTTTTAAACAAAATTGATCAAAAAGCAATTTTCCAGGAGTAGACTTCTTCGCCGCGGGTGTCCCGCTAGAAAATCCTTAATGAAAGAATAACAGAAACCCTGAATTACTCTTCTTCCCAGTGGTAATATTCCAAGGTTTTTAGCTGTTGAATTAACATTCTCAGGTCTTAATTCAATATTTTTCCACAATTCCGTGTGAAACTGCAAAAAAAATGTCTAGTTAATTTTTTTTTCGTGCACCACAACCGCATGTTGTGAGTGCGATAGAAAAATTTCGCCTCCGAATATTATTTTGCAATAATATCTCCGCCTGAATCCCTGAATCCCTGAATATTATTTATAAAAGGGAATGAAGAGAAATTTGAAAATCGGAGGAGAAAGCTCCCGATTATTGATCTCAAATCGATGGATTCCGCCCCGCGACCGCTTGTCACAAAATCAATGGCAGAAGAGAGTGATTTATTGATAAAAAATGAGAATAACATTACGTTCAGGGTACATTAGAGTGAGCCTGAGTGATTGATGTAATTTAAGTGCAGTTTTATACTGTTACTCCCCGCCCTATCAAAATAGGGTAATCATTTTATTCCGTTTATTAAATCTTTTATTTGCGGGAGTAGGATGTGGCGTATCTCCAACTCGATTTACGATACGAAGACAACGACGATAGAATAAAAGAGACAGTGGAAAGAGAAAAATCCTGGTAAATACCGAAAACAACTGGCGATTTTAATGACCGATTTAATCCACTGGTGTTCCAGTTCTCATAAGTACTCGACTAGATTTTTTGTTTCTCTGTACTCCACAGGCGTAATGAATTCCAAATATCGAAGCAACATTAACACATATTGAAATATCTCTACAGCACCCTGGGAGTTGATTTAATGCAAGTCGGAAAACCTTTGATATATTTACACCAAAAGTGCAGCGGGGCTTTTTGGTCGACTGGATCTACTGCCCTGGAGTCCAATTGAAGGCGGAGGGTTTATCGGGGCGTCGCAAATTGAAAGTTAGGCGGTGTGCACCACCCAAGGATGGTGGAAACTGAAAGAGGAACTAAAGGTGGTGAAAAAAAAAAGAGGAGAAAAAAAAATCAGGGGGAGGATAGCAGTGAAACGAGTTGAGGGGAAAAAAAATATACGCTGCGGTCACGCGAGTTTAAGGTGAGGCGGAAACTGAATTTAAAGTGCACTTTTTGAGTTCTTTCAATTTTACGTTTGACACTGGTCAGCACACTAAAACATCCACGTCAGGTGTTTTTCCAATGTGCAATTCAAACTCACATCACTTTTCACCTTTACTATTGCACAGAGCACTCACAAACACGAGAGGTAGTTTGACAAAGTTGAGACACAGATGAAAAAAAAAAAAAGAAAGAAATTGTGAAACGACATGGGAGAGAAGTTGAAATGAAAATAACGGGAAAGACCTCTTTCACGGTATGATATAAAAGCGCCTGAATTTGATATCAATCCTAGGCAAATGGAGAGCATGCCTCTCACTCCTCCAGCGACTGTTACCCACCTCCTTGCAACCTCCTCATCACCCTCTTTACCTCCTCAGCCATCTAAGACTTGTACCCAGAAAATCTCACTTTTCTCCGCATAAAATTGAAATGGTAAAAAGTGTAACTTGGATAGGTGTAGGGGAAACAGAGACGACGAGGTAGATGTAAAAAACGCCCAGAGGATGAAACAGGAGTAAGAGAAAAAAAAAACATTTTATAATAAAAAAAATAATCCACTCAGGAGGAGCGTGGAATTTTATATGGAGCAGCGTTGGCTGAATTTAAAGTGCACCTTAAGTCGTTGAAATTCCCATTTCCAAAGTGGGTAAATATCTTCGATATCACGCCCCCGTTAACCCTCGTTAAATTGACAAAACGAAAAAGAACAGAAAAAATAAGGATAATAAGATTGCGAGAAGATAAATCGTGCAATCCCCCGTAATGATACAGATTAATTGCACCTTCAATCTGAAATGTTTTTCCCAATGCGAAAACAGGCGGTGGTATGTCATCCCCCCCCCCAATCCCATTCCATCGGTACCCCAATTATTGTTATTGTGTATTTACCTGTCTATTCGAGTGGATTGATTATCGAGAAGAGGATACCCGTGGAAAATTTACACCGTCGAGAGGTACGTCACGGTTTTGAATACGACATAGAGGGAAGATAATTAAATCCAAACTGGACATACGTGGGGCACGTATCACTCGCTCTTCCCTTCCGCGTCGCTAATTGGATAGTTAATTCCACCGAATGGTCGGATAAATGGCCGGCAACGGTGCTATACCTTTCCAGATCCACCACTTTAGCACAACCAAATCCTATTTTGATCAGCACCAGTTTCCTTGCTCCACTTGATATCCCCCAAAATCCCCAGCTCCACAACTTTGTCCATATGCGACCACCAGAATGTAATTGGAATGCTTATTGATACAACTCTCTGAACTCCCCCCCTCCCCCCCCC